AGGAGGAGGAGGAGGAGGAGGAGGAGGAGGAGAAGAAGAAGAAGAAGAAGAAGAAGAAGAAGAAGAAGAAGAAGAAGAAGAAGAAGAAGAAGGGTAGTTCTTAGACCTCTCACAGATCAAGTGGTGAGTAGTGCTCTGTGTCACAAGCCATTTTGAATACTTTCACGCAGAGTCCTGGCTTAAGTGCCCACAATTATTCACAGGTTATTAGGATGTGAAATTTACTTGGTATTAGGTTTAAATTCTGGCTTCTATAATTTAGATGTTTTAAAGTCTTGGTCAAGTGATTTCATTTTTTTTCCCTGAGATGGTTTCTCTGTGTACTTTTGGTGCCCATCCTGATATCGTTCTGTAGACCAGCCTGGCCTCAAACTCACAGAGATCAGCCTGGCTCTGCCTCCTGAGTGCTGGGATTAAAGACATGCGCCACCACTGCCTGGCAATGATTTCATCTTTTTAAGTCCCATTTTCTTCATTTGTAAAACAAGAGATAGTGACTTTTTAATAGTTTTCCTGAGAATTTGAGATACATTTTTAACATCTAGTTTTTAAATATTATACGTAAATAAATGTTACTTTATTATTATTGTTATTGGGTTTTCAGTAGTTGCTATATTACCAACCACTGACATATTTCTAAATATTTTTGAGTAATATTTCTCCTTGCTGTGATTACTTATTTATCAAAGCAAAAACAACATCTGGGCATGACAGTGCATGGTTCTTATATCAACACTAAGGTGGAGGATGTAGGAGGAATATCATGAGTTTGAAGCCAAACTTGGCTAGACAGTGAGAGTCTATCTCAACAAGCCAACAAACAAACAAACAAACAAACAAACAAAGCAAACAAGCATATAAACAGAATAAACCACCACTTCCACTATCATAGCAAGAAACCTTTAAAAGAATAGCCAAGCATCTGTACAGCATTTTAGATTTTGTCCTATTTATATTCAGCATTTGGCTCACAAGGAGGAACATGGCCAAGGGCTAACTGCTGGAAGGTGGTTATTTATTTGGACCGCCCTCAAAGGTGGTAGTTACTTTGTGGAGCTCTGAGCAATCAACTCTCTTATGTATATATACTCACCATCAGCTTTAACAAGATCAGTGTGTTTGCCACATTCTCTGAGGAGGCAGTGTAACCCAATGCCTAAGGTCACAGGACTTGGGATTGGATGTACTGAGGGTCGAAAGCAGCACTTGACTCAGTGAGCATCCCCCATGGATCGGGTGTTTCTTTACGTCTTAACAATTCATATGAGTGGTTATGATGCCATCTCATTATGGAAATAATATACTTGATCACTTTTCCAAACATTGTAGTTTATTCATTTGCTACAAAAATCTGTACTGTTGTGTGCTTCCCATTCACACCAATTATTAGGAAACCAGAACTGTGTCTGATTCTTAAATGAACAGTGGATGTAGGACATGTGAGTTCTAAATTAGTAAAACTTTAAGATATCTCTTAAGAAAAAGAACAGAAAACCATGTAAGAAACTAAATATATGTTTTTAGTAATATACTTTTATTTTGAATATATGTTTTGATAAAAAAAACTATAGCAAATTTTAAGGAGGTGATAAGTAGTACAAATGCTATAAAATGCAGAAAACCATTTTTCCTGCTGTCTGGAGGCACCCCTGTGATGGCATGTGATCTGGACACTTGCAACCTCATTTCTCCTTTACTCACATGTTTCTAGTGTCAGTTTGCTGCATCTTTGGGTTATGTACCAAGTGAATAGGCATTGAGAGATGGGCAGGAGGAGTGTTTCTGCTGGAACCTTTCCCGTGTAAAGATGTCCAGCAGTGTTAGAACTGTATATTGAAAGTGTTTTATGAAACCCAGACTACATGTCCCCTAGCTCAGCTGCCTCAGAGTTCCCATGGCCATTCCAGTACCATTTGACTCTAGAAGAATCATGAGGGAACATGGAAGTGGGAAAAATAACCATCTTAGCTAATTGTGGAGAAATTTTATGAGATTTTTTTTTTATGCCTGTCTTCTTCTAATTCTCCTGGGCTCCCTTCCATTGCTAGCTGTGAACTGTTCAATAAGCTCTTTTGAGAGTAGAAATATAAAACTTTTAATTGAAAAAAGAAAGTAGTGACCATAAATGTCCCTAAACGCTCTCCTCTCACAGTGAAAGGAACTTGGGATGTATGAAAATGTGAACTTCCCATACTGTGTGCTAGGCACTGTTTAGTGCCTTACATGACTTACTTAGTATTCATAAAAACACTGCCAAATATGCGCTGTGATCCACCACCAACATGTTACTGTTGAAAAAAATGCAATCATAATAAAGTTAAAAAGCTTGCCCAAGGCTAAACACTGGGACAGGGATTTGAAGCAGAGCTGCTTGAACTTAACCATTTCAATTAGTGTGTGTGAGTGTGAGTGTGTGAGTGTGTGTGTGTGTGTGTGTGGTGTGTGTGTGTGTGTGTGTGTGTGTGGTGTGAGTGTGTGTGTGTGTGTGTGTGGTGTGTGTGTGTGTG